CAGTGGGGGCACTGGGATCTTTCTGTGTGTAGTCTCCATGTTCTCCCCGTGCAGCGTGGGAGAGATCCCACGCTGCACGCCTTCCTCCCACAAGGTCCAAAAACATGTTGAGCTTAATTGGTGATTCTAAATTGTCCGTAGGTGTGAATGTGAGTGTGCTTGGTTGTCTGTCTCTAAGTTGAGCTCTGCAGTAGACTGGTGACCTGTCCAGGGTGTCCCTTTGCCTTCGCCCTAAGTCAGCTGGGATAGGCTCCAGCCCCCCTGTGACCCTAGTGAGGATTGAGTGGTGTATAGATAATGGATAGATAGATTAGATAAAGCTAACATAGTAATGTATGCAGATGACTCAACCATATACACATCAGCACAAACTAATAATGAATTAAAAACTATTATAAATAAGGAAATAAAAGGTGTGGCTGAATGGGTTAATGTAAACAAACTGGTCCTGAATATATCAAAAACTAACTGCATAAATATAGGGTCAAATTATAATATTGATAATAATCCTGCATTAAATATTAAATTTAATAATATCACTATACGCCATGTGCATGAGACCAATCTTCTGGGAGTGACAGTTGACAATAAATTATCAGGGAAAAAACACATTAATAATATGATTGCAAAGATGGGTAGAGGCATATCAATTTTGAGGAGACACACAACTTTTATGACTCCAAACATCTTGACAACAGCAATTCAATCACTAATCTTATCCCATCTTGACTATTGCCCAACACTTTGGTCGAATGCCACCAGGGACATGTTAAACCAACTACAACACATACAAAATAGAGCTGCCCGAACAATACTCAAGTGTGACTACAGGACAAATATCATCTCAGTGCACCAAAAGTTCAACTGGTTACTGGTCAAAGACAGACTGTTATACTCACTGATAATTGCTATAAGAAACATATCGGTTTTAAAATCACCTCTTATTTTGTTTAAAAACCTCTACTTTCGTGCATCCATCCATCCATTTTCTATACACCGCTTAATCCTCATTAGGGTCGCGGGGGGGCTGGAGCCGACCCAGCCGACTTAGGGCGAAGGCAGGGGACACCCTGGACGGGTCGCCAGTCCATCGCAGGGCCACACTTAGAGACAGACAACCAAGCACACTCACATTCACACCTACGGACAATTTAGAATCAACCTCAACATGTTTTTGGACTGTGTGGGAGGAAGCTGGAGAACCCGGAGAGAACCCACGCTGCACGGGGAGAACATGCAAACTCCACGCAGAAAGATTCCGGTGTCCCTACCGGGACGCGAACCGGCAACCTTCTTGCTGCGAGGCAACAGTGCTAACCAACTGCGCCACCTTGCAGCCCATAGATATAGAGAGAGAGACAGAGAGAGAGAGAGAGATATTTATGATACATAGGGTATACTAAATTATATAGTGTGGATATATTTTGTAATGTTATATGTGAATTTATATATATACATATATATATATATATACAGAAAATTCAATATAATAATGAAATGATAATGCACAAGGCTATATGACATAGTTTCTCATAATGTATATATCAAAATGTGAGAAAGTGTAAAGCTCACTTGGCTTTTGTTTTGTTTTGTTTTTACAATATTTTCTGTTTTCTTGCATGTATAATTCTTTTAGACCCCAGGAAGAATTGCTGTGGCTTTGCTGCAGCTAATGGGGATCTTAATAAACTAAACTAAACTAAACTGTTACAAGTTGCATTGCATTTCCCCAGTGTGGTCAATTTGTTGAGGCTCATAAAACACAAACCATCATTCATAACCATTATTAATGTATTTCTTGACCAGACAGTCAGTCATCTCAGACTTCTCATGCAGTGGGGTTTTCCCGTCTACATAAACCACTGCATACAGTAAATCCCATAAGTAGGTTTGATTGGAATTCAGGTGGACTGGGACCAACTGCAGCAGGTTTTAAATGTAGTTTTCCATAATGTGTGTGGGTCACTTGGTCCTACACTTGTACAACAGTTAATGCAGATTTTTAAGACTGACTAACCATTGTACCTAAAGCAGTGACTTTTTGTTTTTGTTTGTTTACAGCAATGCTTCATCTTCTTTGGAAGCGGTGAAAAGTATCTGCCGGCACTTCACTATGACTTTGAAGCTGGCTGAGGACCAGAGATTTGCCCATGAATGTGGTGACACCACTGTGCCTGAGGAACACTGGGTTGGAGACCAAACACTACCTGAGAAAATCCTGCACATGGATGGTATCATTGCTGAAAAGCTTTCTGAATGCCCCAAAATGAAGTCCACTAGACCTCCAGCCATTTCAAGAGCGGACAGCATCAGATGCGGCTACTGGAGTTTAGAAGACACTCCAGCTGCAGAGAGTCACCATGATACGTTTGACAGCGTCACAATTAGCCCAAAGACAATCCAGACAGTTACAAAAACAACCTCCGCCAGTCTTGAAAAAGCACCTGTGCCCAACTATCAAGACTCAGACCTCAAAAAGTAATTCACCAAATATTTTATCTGACCAAATGATATCTCCCTCTCCACTTCCATTCCAGTAAACACCACACTATGGACAACAGATGATCTGATATAATGTATGCAATGAAAGCCTCTGAATTCTTTCATGGTACACAACTGGACACTGCCGACTTAAAGCAAACACACTGCCTTTTATATTATTCTTTTTATAGCAGCTCAGCATTTTATTAGTTTCTGCTGCAGAGCATTTGTCATCATTGGAACCTCCTCTATTTGATTTACATCAGAAGATGTTGAAGACCTTATTCATTTTAACACGCAGCTTTATCATTAACACTGTGCTATCTTTGGGAGGACAATAGATCTTTGATATGAGGGTTGGCTCTGGACAGGCTTAAACTCTCCAGAGTCCTGCTCTCCAGATGTCTGCCTAGAAATAAATTCATGTTTTGAAAGATGAAGGTGCTATGACATCATGTGTATCCCCCACTTTGTGTGTGTACTTAACTGTGTGTGTGTTCTTTCTGAAGCAGCACAGCAGCAGTCGTGATTCAGCAGTGGTGGAGGAAATACAAGGGGAACATTAATGCTCCCCCCTTCTCAGAAAAGGGAGGAGATGGAGGAATGCCAGCGTCAGGATCTTCCATCATTAACAAGAGTGCTGTTGACAACTATGCAGCGACTGTCATCCAGGTAAAACCTTTAGCACTTTGTCAGACATTCAAGCCTCTCCATTTGCCTTACTGTACAAGAGGTTAACTCCAGAGAGTAAAGTCCAGCCTTGCTACATCCAAAACATACCAGCACTCGTACTGTGCCCATTTTCAGCACCCTACACTGAACTACATTCCCCTAGTAACAACACAGACTGGTTATCCAGGATAGCTGACTTGAGCTGTTTCCTGGTAATAATAATTTATTTTTACCAGTAAACAGTGCAGTCCATTTATCCATTAGGCCATTATGTCCATGGATGCATTAAAATTCAAGTTAACCTCCGTTAAAGCACCAGTTACTGAATATTGTAAATATCAGTACTAGTTGAGTTATATTTTTTGGTTCATCAATTATTCAGTGAGTTACTAAAATGTCCAAAAAAAAAAAAAAGAAGAGAGTTAAAAGTACCTTCTTAGTTTCCTGTAGCTTGAAGTTGTATCTTCAGAAGAGACTTCTCATTTACCTGCTGATGTGTAATTATTGGTAACTCTATAATTTTCCAGAATTGTGGCCAAAGTCTGAAGTCACTTTCACTTTGTTGATACCTGAAAATGTCCATTTTCTTCTTTGAACATCAATCTTCAGGCCTCAAACGTGCTCTGGAAGCTTACTTGGCTAATCCTCTGCACAGAGGTGTAAGCTGCTGTTCTGAAAAACATGCTACTCAACACCTCTCTCAAATCCCTTCTCAACACAAAAAGTGTTTGATGAGTCCTTTAGGGCTCTCCAAGGTAGAAGGTGGGGGTTGTAGTGTAGTAGAGTAGTGTGTGTGTGTGTGTGTGTGTGTGTGTGTGTGTGTGTGTGTGTGTGTGTGTGTGTGTGTTGGGGGGCTATAGAGTGATTAATCAGATTCCAAAGAAGTGCAGTAGTAAGAGTTCTAGAATTCCTGCGCGGCTCAACTTGAAGTGAAGCGTGCCCCCCCAGCCCGTTGGGAATTGTTGGATTTAGAGGCACACTAGAGCTCCATTTGTCTCTGAACAGCCTGGAGTCATGCAGAGTTCAGACAGCAGAACACTCAGCAATTAAAAGAGAGGTTAACATGTTTTATCTCCACAATGGGATAACATGTAATATTTACGTTTGCTCTGTGATTCATGGGTAGATTTCTATGATTTCTTTTCTCGGGTACCTTCAGGCATTTTGGAGGGGTTTCATTCTAAGGAGGAGGCTTGCATCTGCTCTTGCTGCTGTCAAATGCCCCGGCGAAGGAGTGGATGACAACTTTGAGGAGGTGGACGTGGATGAATTTGTCTTTGATGAGGTATGCACACAAGTTCACGTGTTCTTCACTTTCATGGTTCAGTAATTCCCCCACCCCACGCCCCATCAGACACACAACGTTGCACAGAGGCGGCTACAACAGTGCACAAAAACATATGTATACATACGCAACACTAACTGCGTGCAAAATCAAACCTGTGTGCATGTGCACACAAACCTGTGCATGTGCACTGGAAAGAACACAAGAGAAATGTACGTTTGCACAGAAGCTGACAGACATAGAAGTGTGGACACACACAACTACAAAGACAGAATAATGCAGAGATATTTTCTGTCCATGCATATTCCCAAATCTTGAGTTACCATTTTATTATTTCCCTCACTATTATGTTATATACACTACATACAGTACATAGTATGCTGTATCCATATGTATACAGATGATGTCAAATTAAAAGAAAGCTTAAATCCTTGCCCCCTACAGTGAGAAGATCTGGTGGCTCTGTTATGCTGTGGGGGCATTTTGCTGGCATGGTTGAGAGTGCTCTCTTTAGGATGATTTTGAATGGTTTGATGAAGATTATGTGAATCTTATGCTACGGCCTTCACAGTCACCAGATCAAACCCCAGCTGAACACCTATGGGAGATTTAGGACTGATGTGTTACACAGCACACACCACCACCACCATCATAAAACACCAAATGAGGAAATATCTTTTGGAAGATTAATGTTCATCCCAGCAGAGTTGGAGAATCAATACGACTGATTGATTAGTGCACTGAAGCTGTTCTGGCAGCATATGGAGGCACCTTACTTGACATTTTATGTGGCGATTTCCTTCAGTTTGTCACCTAACTGTATATTATGCACTGTGTGTTATGTTTGATTCCAAAAATCTTTTCTCTTATATTTTTAAAAGGAAGCACTAGAGAAACACTGGACACTGATGCTTCCTGAAGACTCACCTCCCATACATTACCCTGACTCAGAGCAGCCAGTATCTCTGAAGGTAAAGTCCTGGGATATTACCTATCATGAGCTTTTATTACAATGAAAGTACCCGGTGAATTTTGGTATTTACCAGGCCATGTCACGTCAGTTGAAGTTACTATCTCTCCCTGTCCCTTCCTCATGTTGCTTATCGCTCCCTCCAGGATTCATCTCACCCTCCCTGATTGATCTTTAAATTTATTCTCTTGAAAAACAAAATTGTTTCCTGGAGGGCTGAAGGTTGCTCAGCACCAGCAGATGTCATTTTTCACGCTGGCTGGACTGTCGTCCTGTTTTTTTTCTCCTTCATTTACCTCTCACTGGATCTTTTCTTTGGAGCGTGCTCAGCACTGTACATCATGGTAGCCAGTTTAAGCCAGCTGATGCGGTGCAGCTGCTGGTGTGGCCGGCCTCAATGTGTTGACACTGACGTACACATCAAAGGCAGGGATGAACAATTTAGTGCTCTGACAAAGAGAAAATGGAACCTGGAGGGTAATTAAGCTGTTACTTTGACTTACATATGAGCATTCCATGAGTGTGAAAACTCACTTTTTAAAAAGGTATCTCCCTAACACCAAAAAATGAAAATATGCACTTGAGTTAAATGTGACTGGATGTCATTGCATACATTATATGTAATCTTCCCTAAGGTATACAGGGAGATTAAGTTCTCTAGACAGAGGTTAAACTTTTTTTTTTCACATAAAGCTCCAGCATAACAACCTTCTGAACACACCTCAAGTGGTGATCCAGATTTTACTGAGAGAGATATTAAGTTTCTAAAGTTAATACTGAAAACCTGAATTTAAAGAACCACTCACTAAATAAGAATTTAAAATGTATTTTGAAGCGAATACAGAGATTTGCTGCAGTGAATGCTTTTATTTAAAAATCAAGGTATTAAAAACCTACTCAAATGAATTAGTAGGAGTTGAAGGATTACATTTTTGCTGACTCTGATTTGCATTTGTGTTTCAGCCTCTTAGTCCTTGTCTTGATGGTTCACAGTACATACTCCCTCCGACACTTGAACGGAGCCCAAAGCAGGCCTGGGTCACTGGGGAATATATGGACTCGGCTGCGCTAAGAATTTCACCAGAGAGTTCCAACAGGTAGAATAACCCACAACCTAACCACTGGCGAAAGCTGTGGGTTGATAATCTGCTTGATTTCTGCTTCTCACAGTTTACGTAATCATTTGTTTACATTCGATACAAAGAACAAAAAAATACTGCCTCACTCTGTTTTAAACCATCAACAATTTCCGCAATAGTCAAAAATAAGCTCCCAAATTAAACCCTTCATTCTGTGGTGTAGATATTATCCCAACTATGTTATTTTCTGTTGAAGAGATACTCCCCTCTGTTAGTTATTTTTTAATTAACAGTTGTTTAACTTGTGGTATTTTTCCCAGTCATTTTAAACATGCAATCATTCAACAGTTACTGAACAAGCCAAGTTTGGATCCTTTATTACTCAGTAGTTATGGACCAATGATTTTTTTCAAAGTGCTTGAGCAATTTATTTCAATTTACTTAATATTGCTTCTCGATATGAGCAATATATGCATTTTTTTTTTTTTTTTTACTTTTTTTTCCCAGTTTGACTGTATTTATTGCTGATAGAGACTGCAGTGCCCTCAAGATTTTAGATTTGATGACTGCCTTTGACACAGTCAATCATTCTACTCTCACTTACTGTCTAGAAACCTGGGAGACACTCTTCATTTGTTACACTTGTACATCTCAAAGAGAACCTGCTCTTTAGACATAGCAAATGTCTACTCCACCACTGCCAAACATAGCTGTGGTGTTCCTCAAGGCTCCATCCTTGGCCCACTGCTGTTTTCAAATAACGTTCTCTCTAGCCAGAGCATTCGGAATTATGGTATCACAGTCAAACCAACAGCACCAGTAACAATATTGTGAAATTTTGTGTCCCAAAATGTTATAAAATTTGGTGATGTTAGTCTGATGTTATAGTCATTGGTGCCAGTACTTCTACCAGAATGCTTCACAGTAAGCTTGGTCCCTTGCCCAAAAATATTAGGCAGTTTATTAGAAATCTCTGAGTTGTCTTCCATGTTGGATGCAGAGCTCTTTCTTGGTGTTCAAATACAAAGAATCAACCATGATACAGCAAATTGAAATTAGATATTGATTAACAGTCTGTCAATGAAAGTCATGACAACTCATGTCTAAATTCCAGGCCATATTCAAACCCACTGCACCATTGGATCTTGTTGGTATAGAAGGAGACAGTTTGAAGATTAGAATACAATAAGAAGCTTTTTGTGCTGATCTCTCATGATGATCAGTGGGTATCTGTGATAACATGTGTATCACTTCTGCTGTTTTCACTGGGTGATACGTAAATATGATTGTGTATAAACATGCATAGCAACATTTGAAAATATAAATTTGTAAATTTTTGCATCTCTTGCTGTCTATTTTTAAAGATAATAATCACTTTATGATTTCAGAAACAAGTCTCCTCTTTCAACCTCAATGCTTTGCGGTCTCTCCGAAAGATCAGAAAAGATTATGGAAGAATGGTAAATCATCATTTTGTTATTATACATTGTGTCTTCCCGACTACAATTTGTCTTTTGTTGTTTCATTGAATGTGATTTTCTGTCTTTTTTTTTGTTGTCTCCAGGGGCTTTACTGACAGTCACACAGCTCTTCTGATGCTAAAGAGAGCTCAGAAGATGAAGTCAAAGAAACAACAGCAGAAGAAACATAGGGGTATGTTCAGAAGTATTTCCATGACATTAATCCCTTTTTGCTGTATTTTTCCCTGTAGTTTTAAGCATACAAGCATTCAATGGAGACTAATAAAGCCAAGTTTGGATCCCCTTTTACTTAAATTTACAGAGCAATTTTTAAGCTATCATTTTTGTTCAAGGTGCCTGAGAAAGTAATTACAGTGTTGTTAATATTGTTTATGAATAGTAGCAATATTTTTGAGTAGTTTTCTGTTTCAGTTTCAAAAAGTTAGCTTTTTGTTCATGACAACTAAACATGGTGTTAGCTTTTATATAGCTTATCTGTTTAAATTGTATTAGCCCCCAAAGCTATGCGTGAGACAGGTGGGTTCTGTCACAGGACCGTCCATGGCTCAGAGATGTCTGCATCAACAGTCCCAGCTACAATCATGCTCCACCTCTTTGCCTATTTTTTGTTTGATGGGAGTTCAAAGGAGTCAGGCACTGCCTTGATAGCAGTGGTTGAAGCCGCCACACTGAGTTTCAAAACCACTGCTCAGGAAACTTACGGGTGATGTCATAGAGGGTTTGTCTATCTATATATACATTATATGGACTGTCTTTATTACACTGCTTGTTTCCCTCATGATGTATCTGCTAGCATGTAAAAAACACCTTATGGACCTGTTGACAAACTGAAAACTTGTTTTTACTGGAGGGGGCCATTAAGTCACTTCAACTACAATGCTTCCATTGTTCAATAATCCTTCTACACCAGAACTGATGTTTCTTTCTGTTCCCTTATTTTTAATCTTTGTATTCTTCCCTATATGGAAAGAACTCCTATTAGGACATAACGTATTTTCTCAAAGGGAAAAAATCCGCACTAATTTTTGACTGTTTTCATTCTCATCTTTGTTCCTTCAACCTTGCTTCAACAGCAGTGAACCTTTCCACCCCATGTATGTTAACAAGCCATAACAGACAGCAGAAGCCAGTGCCTGTCGCCTCTTATTGGGCCTTATTTGAAAGCCTGCAAAGGAAATAATGATTGCCAAGAAACCTCTTGACAAGTCATCTTGTGATGACTTTCATTCCAGTTCATTGTAGTGTTGAGTGTAGCTGCAGTGAAAGGTGACCTCACCTCTGCTCTGCTCCAAGAAACAGTAGTCCTGCCACAGCTATCATGCCATGGTCATGTAGAGGAAGGCTGCTCTTTGATCAGAATTGCAAATGCATGATTCCATTAGCAGTGCTCTTGTCATCTTGCTCCACCGACGCACAGGTCTATGTCGGCTGTAACTCCTAATGGCATCTGCCTCAGTGGAACCAGAGCGCTGTTCTAATATTTTCCGAATGTTGGATCCTGGTTTTCTGCTTCTGGTTTTAGGTCTGCCTTGTCCTTCTTTGACCCTCTCTTTCTTACTCATAGATCACTTTGCCCGTCGTGCTTTGTTCAAAAACTGCAATTACCAACTGGGACCAGTGGAGACTCAAAACAGGCTTATACGACACAACAGAAATTATGTAAAAGGTAGGATGTGGGACTTACTACACATTTGCTAATTCCATAGTATAATCTGTAAATTCCTTTTTATTCTCAGCATCTTTATTATTTTTTATTCTTTATTCACTCTTTGTGCATGATTAACCTGTGCAAACCTAGGACCTAAATTTGCAACATGCAAGCTACAATTTACAACATGAAATAACTTCCTCATCCATGGATGAGTCTGACACATTGAAGTAATGGAAACACACACTGTACTTATGGCCCATTTATAAGCATGTGCGATCCCTGTCGGACCTAAAAATCTATCTGGAATCTGTGAGTGACAGTTATTTATGAAGTGTGTCGATGATAGCATTTGCAGTCTGTTTAAGCAGTGCTTGCAAGTCACTTTTATGGAAAACTCTAGATTTGAGATTAGAGACAGGATAATTGATTTTATTGGTTAGGATAGTGTTGAATCTACTAAAGTTGCTTAGGTCTCGGAATACAGTGGCATTGTTGCCACAAGGTGGGAATCATTGCCTAATCTATCAACTTAGGTTTAACCAGCAGCTAAGTGTAATCCACTTTAACTCTCAATTGTGTACCCTTTTTCTGTTGTGTGTATGTATTTTACAGAGCAGGTTTTAACCTAACACAGATGACATACTTCTTTTGAGAGTTTTTTTTGTGTAGTGGATATACAGTCTTCACCAGACCCTACAGACTGACTGTAGTATGAAGTAGATTGATCTGAGAAGAGGCAAATTTCTTCCTCCATCTTTTTCTGCTGTGGCCTGGTGCCCTGCCCTGAGGTGCAGAGATGATTTGGCATTGTGACACACACAGCTAGACTTAAAAGGGAGGGAAGTGCTGGAGGGAGGAATGGGGGGGGGGAGAAGAGTCTGCTTTTATCATGAGGGCCTGTCTCCATCTTTCCTCTGCACCCCAACCCACTCCGACCCACCAGGGTCAAGGCCTCGCATCCAGAGAGCACGACGCTTGCGGTCATCCAACAGTCAGAGGGACGCTGCTGCAGCAGCATTTGCCAACAGTCAGTGAGAGTGACTGGTCCAAGTCCAATGGTGCTATGAGCATGAAATAGCCCTTAATGAGCTGTGAGGAAATACTGTATATTTGCTTGTCATTTCGTGTTACTGTTTAAGAAAAATTATGTAACCTTTAACTTTAACTTATCTGCTTTGGGTGTAACATTTTAGTAATTTGTTAGTACAATAGTTGTGAAGGAATCCCCTTATTTTTCTTAAAACTGAGTCATAGCTCCACAATTGAACATCAACTAACAGCTTCTTTCAGTGTTTTCAAAGATTTTTTAGAACGTTTTGTCAGCAGCCACTAAATTGGCAAAGTTACGAGGCACTTTTTTTTAATCACACAGATGGACAACTATATCAAAAATAGACCAGAATTTTATTCATGGTCTTTGAAAATTTTTACATATAGAACTTTGACTCATAATTTATTTGTTACATGAAAACATGACTTTTACCATGACAGCATCATCATGTCATCTAGTGTTTGTTTAAACTGCAGGTGTAATATGTCAACTTTCCAACACAGTGATTACTGACACTGGAATCATGTCTGAGCACAATACCGGATAAGCTCTCCGCCAACTGGCAATTGAGGAATGGTTCTATCCGAATGACCTATTAGATTACAACAATATTTCCAGCTCTGTTTTTCCAGTATTCTTATCTCTCCTCTCCACCCCATCTTGATAATTTATTAAACTGCAGTGATTGCAATGAAGCATTTCATTGCTTCATTTCAAAGACTGAAATGAAGCAGCTATAGCAGCTGATAAAGGAATGACAAGATGCTGGTTAGGATGTCATCTGTCCTTCTGCTTTGTACTCTGTATCCTCAGTCACATTTCTGATCCCACTGAGTGGGATCCTGTAAAAGGCGTAACTCTAACCAGCTTGGTTCTGGAGGAGACGACTCCCGCTGTCTTTTTACAGGATGACCATGAGGCCAGCGCGACGGTGGCGACAGAGGCAGTGTGTCGGGAACTGACTTGTAGTGCTGTGATCCTGGGTCCCTGTAAACAGGCCAAGGCTAAACTCCCCTCTTGCTCCCCTGGTCCTGACCTGTGTAAGGCACCCCCTCCTCCGGATCCATCCCCAGTGCCCGGGGCCTAGCCAGCCCAGCCCAGCCCAGCCTGGCCCAGCCAGCGCTCCCCGACAGGGGCTAACGTTTCAGGCTTTGAGTCAAGGCCCTTCTGGAGGTGATTAGCCCCAAACCCATGACAGATTCTTTCCAAGATATCCGACGCGGCGTGTTTATTTTATCCGGGCTCTTTGTGTGGATGTGCTGGACATGAGTAACCCACTTGAAATGGGTATCGGCTTACATACCCAGAGAGAGAGAGAGACACAGAGAGAGAGAGAGAACAGTGCAGAGCCACAAGAAAATGTCTTTAGAGGCAAATATAGATATGCTTTTCTCTATTTGATATGATTTGTATCTTCAAGTGCCTGGGTGCTGCAAATGTTGAAGATGTTTTGTGCCTCCAAGCTTTTCTCCTCATTTCTACTCTTACTTTCCACTCAACCCCCCCAGGCACATGCACACTCTTCCAACCTCCCTCTTCCATCCAAATTGAGATTGAACCCCACCAGCCATCCGTCCTCATGTCACAGGAACACAAGGGTGTCTATATTTTATGTCAGCCTGGAACTCCTTCCTCCTGAGCTCCTAACTTGATTTCACACTTCAAGTCATCAACAAAGTCTTACTGAAATACAATCAGTTTGTTTATCACCAATCATCCAAAATAACATCATATTAGACTATTTATCACCATTCTCATGCATTCAGTTCCACCCCAGTCATCTCTGAGCTTTTATTTATTTCAGTCAGCGGAGCTCTTTCCTCATAGTATATGTTTGAGATGCACTGGCACGCTTAACAAGCATACAGAACCAATGTACAGTGGTGCAGCAATCTGACTCACTAACAGAGACAGACATCCAACTAAAAACACTGAGTCAGTCAAATTTCAGACACGCTCTGATTCTTCTTCCATTTAGTGAATGCCATGAAAACATGATTCTTAATATGCTTTTCATGATGTTGTTTTTTATTTGCCAACATTGTGGCATATACACAAAATATGAAGCAAAGGAAGGGTTAGCCTCATTCTAGTTGTTTTTAAGTTGCATGGGCCGAGTTCAGTATTCTCTATTGCAGGTCTTCATAGGAGAATAGCAAGCCAAGGTGCTCGATTCCTTCCTGGAGAAACTGTCTGAAAATGCGTGCGTTAAACACTTTGATTTTTGATGTGTTTGGACAGCACACCGTTTGAACTAGGTCTATTGGAGCAAAACCCAACCCTTACAGTGACCCAACATTTGATCATGTTCTTTTCAAAGCAGTGGTTTTTTCACATAACTGACAAATGGTTGTTAAAATAATTAATGAAAAAAATGGCAACAGACAACTTTTCAACTCCCCCACCACTTGCGGTTCCAAGTGGTATTACTGTTGGCACTGGTGTTGCAAAGACCAGATTGCTTTCAGTTTTCCGACAACACAGGACATGAAATGATCAACACCACTTAGACAAAACGAGGGAAGAAAAGCATGTGTTCAGTGAAGAAGTAAAGTGAAATAGCACTAATTTTATATGGAGTTATAAGATAGTTTTGAGTATTGCTTCATCAGGGTGGAAAGGAGCACAGAAGAAAACGTTGGGGAAAAAAACTGTTAGAAATTACTCTAAAAATCCCTGTCTTAAATAGAAACCCCAGTCTCAGTGCTGTGTAAAGGCAGAGCAAAACACCTGGTGTACAGGTGGCAGGTCTTGTTGCTGACTGATCTAGTAAAAAATATGAAACTGAATGGCCGTTTTGAGTCCCAGTGGTCTCTCCATTCAGTGAATGCCAGTCCAAGGCTTGCTACTCTCCATCTTCGTCTTCTTTGCCTCCTTTGACAATGGGAATCCTTTTTTTTTTTTGCCAGGTAGAGTGTCCACAGTTACTACAGTCCACTATTTCAGCTAAAACTACAGGCAACTACTGGGTAAAACAAAAGAGCCATCATCTTCCTGTTTTAGTTTCATAATTGCAGACACGCTTCATTTGTGCTGTAAACTGAGCTTTGTTTCCGACCTGGTAGCAGACAGAATTAAATAGCGAAAGTGAGGCTTGTAATGAACCAATGTCTTTATAGCCATTACACTGTGCAGTCAACATTTACTTCATATTGATAAGTTAAAGCAAAAAAAAAAAAACAAAAAAAAAAACAACACATCTATTGCCACTTTTAAAGATCATTTTACTGTATGACTACTTGGGTCATATTTTTTCTTGTTTTATTTTCATAGTTTAAACAACCAAAACCAGCCAACATATTTGAAAGAAGCAACAACATTTTACCGGCCTCAGTCTGCTTCAAATTAGGTTCATGGACATGTTTGCAGAAAAGTGTATGGAATAGTCACCGAACAGCACATGAAGCAAACTTTTGGGGGTTGGAAAGTTGGACATACTGACAGTCACATCTACACATAGGCCCAGATGTGCAGAGGTGGAAAAGTAGGCTTGACATTCTCGGTCAAGCTCATCTTTCATTCATCAGACATCTTCTGTCACTTTGTAAACTGACTTTGTCTTTTGTAAACTGATTCTGGGCTTTCAACTTGTTGTTGTGCATGCACACACTTTTACTGCTTAACGCAGAAGTATTACCAACAGTACAGGTGTGATCACTTTGTTTTGCGGAAAAAAGTAGTTTTGGCATCTTTATGACCGGATTGTTGTTGTTTTTTTTTGTTTTTTTTTGCTGTCATGTTGCATGATTGCTTGTTTTTCTTGCTGTATCCTGTTCCCATGTTTCAGCAATTACTTTTGTAAAGACAGAATTTTTCCTTAAAAATGTCAACACGGCACACAATCATAAACTCATTTATGACACTGTTTAATTTCTCACTGGGATCTGCACTGGTTCTGATCTGTTGCATGTCTTGGTGTCATTTGTTTCTCCAGTGAGGCTGGAGGGGAGGAGGAGGAGGCTGTCAACATTGTCTCTCCTTCATCTGTGGTTTGCTGTGGGCCAAAGCTTCCACCCTCCTCCTCTCCAGGTCTCTGATACTCTGAGTCAAAGTTCTCCCCTCCTCAGTAGGGACGAGATCACTTAATGTGCTTAAGAGCCCCCCTTAACAGGCGTGACTCCTATAGGCCCCCTCCTGATGTCCTGGAGGAGTACTGGAGGGGGATTTAGGAGGTTGGAGGAGGTCAGGAGGGAGCTTCAGTTGGGGGTTCTGAGGGGAAAGGGGAGAGAGGTCTCTCTATGTTACTGGAGTGCAACAGAAATGTGAACATTTTTCATTGCACTCATCTGGGTTCACGCTGAACATGTGTTTGCAACAATGCATTCACCATACACTGAGTCTGAAGTAATCATTCAAAATCTTCGCTACTTATGATCTATCCATGTAGGATCCTGTGATATGGATGTCAAAACCATTACAGTTATAAGAACAGGATTTGAGCACGTTACTGTTTAAAAAACATTTTTGGGAGAATTTTTTGGACTGCATTTGCCCTTTCTGTCTTTGTATTTTCAGCTTTGGGAAGTGCAAGTAGCCATTTCCTGGCCTTTGCTGCCCCGGGGGGAAGCATCTATCACTTGACATTTTTAGTGGGGCTTCTCAATTAACCCATGAAAACTGTAAAGCTTTTCTCTTCTTTTTACAACTGAGCAAAAGCAAGTAAATGGCTTAAATAAATGCATCATTAGTTCCAGCATTGGGCTGTCAAAATTCATTATCAGTTTACCCTCATTTACGGCAGCATTACTGTCAGTGCAACATAAATGTTTACTTTGAATTACGACCTTATTATGGGATTTCAGCATAACTCGTAAATCAGCAGGCTTTCAGATTGCTCTCTTTAACAAACTTTTGGAACATTGCTTGGGCTCAATTTGACAAAGAACCACAAGCCCCAACAATTGTTGGAGAGAAGCAGATCTGCTTCTGCTGCATCTTTCAGCAGTTTTACATGTATTATAGTAATGCCCTTGAGTCCCGCAAACAAATACACAACTTTAAGCCCCAACATAAACACTGAGAGCTTTGACTACTGATCTCTCCCAGCATGGGGAAACCTGGCCCACTGTAATTACAATGACACATTTCCAAGTCTGCCACACATCAGGCCCCTCAGCTGTTTATTTGTTGAGCTTGTACATTGGTCAGCATCTGTTAACACAACTCCTTGCAGTATTGATTACGCCTCCTGTCATTTAGAAACATGCTACCTTCTCCTCATCACTTGTTGATTTGGCTTCATGCTCTTTTTTTCTTACCACTGTCTTCAAGAATGTTAGTCTAGAATAGGGATAAAATATTGACCTGTGACGTTTATTTGATGTTTTTTGTTGAATGCAGTCGGTGAGGCTGAGCTGGGCCTTCAGGAAGCAGAGAAGCTGGAGCAAATGAAGCAGGAGGAGGCACATCAGTGGCTGCACACTCAGGCTGCTCAGTCTGACAGTCATTCTGAGAGGTGAGGCACCCAATGTTGGTCAGAAGGTGAAGTAGTTATAGTATTGACTAGCTAATATTGCTCTCAAACAACTCTTCGCTAACCCTGCCCCCAAAGTAATTTACCATAGTATTTAGCCTTGCACATAGTTTTGTTTTTACTTGTGCAGATTTTTGAAATGATCTATTTTTGAAATATCTATGTGACTTCACTGCGAGGTCTGTGGATTATCCAGTGTGCCTCCGACATTGTTTTTGGAAGAACAGTCCATAACATAACATTTCAATTTTATAAGCACTATTATTTCACCTCTATTGAACTGGAGAGATGTCAGATCTGAGAAAGATATCGTAGAAATTTTGCAAATAAATCCAAAACTAGTCGTATGGCATCTTTTAAAAAATAATATTCTTTTTGTAATAAATATTTGTTTCTGATGTGTCCTTTGTCCCACTTTTTCAGTTAAAAAAAAATTACCTCTTTAGCTTGAAACACAATCAATATTTTCCCCCAAAAATCTAGGAACATGAATAAATTGATTTCCTCACACAATTATCTTTCTTTATTAAAAATCCCATTATGTGTGTATCAAGACAGTATCAAGGCTTTAGTTTTTGCATTAGAGAATGCTGCATACTGAATCGTGACTGGCT